AGTCTTCCTGGGACATTCAAGGTAGCATGTGAGCAATGGCTGCCACCTGCAAACTGAGTCATGCATGGACATGTGACTTGCCCAGGTGGCTACAAACTCCATCTTGTTGCTGTGATTTTGCACAGGAGAACAAAGGGGTTTCCACCCAAAAGAGAAAGAATATAAAAGGCCCTGGAAACCCCTCTACTTTGTCTCCAGTACTGCTTCTTACTTCTGTAGGGACTTTGCTACACTGAAGCTCTGAACAAAGGACTGAATGACCCATCCAAGCTGTGGATGTACTCCAGAGACTTGATTTGAACCTGCAGTTTATTCCATCATTGCTACAACCCTGAATCAAGAACTTTGCCATTGCGGTATGTAATTGATTCCATTTAACCAATTTTAACTCTCACCTTATTTCTTTCTTTTTATGAATAAACCTTTAGATTTTAGATTCTAAAGGATTGGCAACAGCATAATTTGTGGGTAAGATCTAACTTGTATATAGACCTGGATCTGGGGCTTGGTCCTTTGGGATTGGGAGAACCCTTTTTCTTTTACTGGGGTATTGGTTTTCATAACCATTTGTCCCCATAAGAAGTGGCTGCTGGTGATGATACTGGGAAACTGGAATGTCTGAGGGAATTGCTAGTATGACTGATGGTTAGCCAGTGGGGTAAAACTGGGGTCCTCTTTGTTTGGCTGGTTTGGTGTGTCTTGATAGTAAAGGAAACCCAGCCTTGGGCTGTAACTGCCCTGCTCTAAACAATTTGTCCTGAATTGATACTCTCAGTTGTGTCCCGCCAGAGGCAGCATTGTTCCAGGCCCTACCAAATTCACAGTCCATTTTGGTCAATTTCACGGTCATAAGATTTAAAATTTTTTAAATTTCATGATTTCAGTTTAAATCTGAAATTTCACGGTGTTGTAATTCTAGGGATCCTAACGCAAAAAGAACATGTGGGGGGGTCGCAAGGTTATTGGAAGGGAGGTTGCAGTATTGCTACCCTCACTTTGGCACTGCCGCTGGCGGTGGTGCTGCCTTCAGAGCTGGGCAGCTGGAGAGCGGCGTCTGCTGGTCAGGAAACCAGCTCTGCAGGCAGTGCCCCATCAGCAGCAGCACAGAAGTAAGGATGGCATGGTATGGTGTTGCCACCCTTACTTCTGCGCTGCTACCCGCAGAGCTGGGCCATCAGTCAGCAGCCAACACTCTCCGGCCACTCAGTTCTGAAGGCAGCAGTGCAGAAATAAGGGTGGCGATACCACGACCCCCCTAAAATAACCTTGCAACCCCCCTGCAACTCCCTTTTGGGTCAGGACTCTCAGTTTGAGAAATGCTGGTCTCCCTCATGAAATCTGTATAGCATAGGGTAAAAGCACACAAAAGACTAGATTTCACAGGGGGAGGCCAGATTTCACGGTCTGTGATGGGTTTTTCAAGGCTGTGAATTCGGTAGGGCCCTACCCATGAGCCATGGACCATTAAAGATATTGATGATCATGTTTATATTTGGCCTCCATTGCTTCCCTTGAGGAGACAGTTCCCCAGCCCTGTACAGCTCACTGGGACATATATTTCATACCCTCCTGCGGCACACAGGCCACATCCTGCAGGTCTCACTGGTTGTGGCTTATTGGCCTCCTCTGTGGGGCCTGCTTTGCCCAGGGCCCCCCAGTCCTGGCCGATCCACAGGCGCAGGTTGTCAGCACCTTCATTGTTACTACCAAGATGCTGTTCCCAGCATGCAATGGGCCAGCTTGCTTGGGCCAAAGTGAAGCACTGCTCCCTTCCAGTGTGCATGGCCAGCTCTGCTCTGGGGAGAGGGACACATCTGGCCCACTGTGGTGCAAACCCACTCTCTTCGCTCCCTGGGCCTGACTCACCCCAAGGCCTGGAACAGAGGGGAGGCAGATTACACCACTGCTAGCCAGGGGCTGCCAGGGCCAGGGCCCTGTCTGAGCCACTGCAGCGCTGGACTGCCTCAGCTCCCCCCACCAAGACACTTTCTGCCCGGGGGCAGAGCCAGCACTCGTTCTCCAGCCATACGGGGGCTATTTCCTGCCCCTTTACACCAGTGTAGCCAGGGCAGAAGATGAATCCCACTATTTGGGCCGGACCCCCCACTACCCAGCCGCTGGATCCCCACTCACACCTGGGCAGAGCAGGGTACAATGCAGCCAGCCAGGGGGTGGGTGTTGCCTTGGTGCCCATGGTGACACCGGGCCAGGCAGCAGAGTGAGGCCTCGCAGGGGTTAGCAGCAGACCATGTCCCTCACTCCTGCCTGGCCGGCTGCACCTGACCTGGCTGTATTTTAAAGAATCCTTATTGAGGTTGCAGGAAAAAAACATCCCGATGTGTAGAAAGAATAGTAAATATGGCAGGCGACCAGCTTGGCTAAACAGTGAAATCCTTGCTGATCTTAAATGCAAAAAAGAAGCTTACAAGAAGTGAAAGATTGGACAAATGACCAGAGAGGAGTATAAAAATATTGCTCAGGCATGCAGGAGTGAAATCAGGAAGGCCAAATCAAACTTGGAGTTGCAGCTAGCAAGAGATGTTAAGAGTAACAAGAAGGGTTTCTTCAGGTATGTTAGCAACAAGAAGAAAGTCAAGGAAAGTGTGGGCCCCTTACTGAATGAGGGAGGCAACCTAGTGACAGAGGATGTGGAAAAAGCTAATGTACTCAATGCTTTTTTTGCCTCTGTCTTCACGAACAAAGTCAGCTCCCAGACTGCTGCGCTGAGCAGCACAGTATGGGGAGAAGTTGACCAGCCCTCTGTGGAGAAAGAAGTGGTTCGGGACTATTTAGAAAAACTGGACGAGCACAAGTCCATGGGGCCGGATGCGCTGCATCCGAGGGTGCTAAAGGAGTTGGCGGATGTGATTGCAGAGCCGTTGGCCGTTATCTTTGAAAACTCCTGGCAATTGGGGGAGGTCCCGGATGACTGGAAAAAGGCTAATGTAGTGCCCATCTTTAAAAAAGGGAAGAAGGAGGATCCGGGGAACTACAGGCCAGTCAGCCTCACCTCAGTCCCTGGAAAAATCATGGAGCAGGTGCTCAAGGAATCAATTCTGAAGCACTTAGAGGAGAGGAAAGTGATCAGGAACCGTCAGCATGGATTCACCAAGGGCAAGTCATGCCTGACTAACCTAATTGCCTTCTATGAAGAGAAAAGTGGGTCTGTGGATGAGGGGAAAGCAGTGGATGTGTTATTGCTTGACTTTAGCAAACTTTAGCAAACTTTTGATACGGTCTCCCACAGTATTCTTGCCGGCAAGTTAAAGAAGTATGGGCTGGATGAATGGACTATAAGGTGGATAGAAAGCTGGCTGGATTGTCGGGCTCAATGGGTAGTGATCAACAGCTCCATGTCTAGTTGGCAGCCGGTTTCAAGTGGAGTGCCCCAAGGATGAGTCCTGGGGCCGGTTTTGTTCAATATCTTCATTAATGATCTGGAGGATGGCATGGACTGCACTCTCAGCAAGTTTGCAGATGACACTAAACTGGGAGGAGTGGTAGATACGCTGGAGGGTAGGGATAGGATACAGAGGGACCTAGACAAATAAGAGGATTGGGCCAAAAGAAACCTGATGAGGTTCAACAAGGACAAGTGCAGAGTCCTGCATTTAGGATGGAAGAATCCCATTCACTGTTACAGACTAGGGACCGAGTGGCTAGGCAGCAGTTCTGCAGAAAAGGACCTAGGGGTTACAGTGGACGAGAAGCTGGATATGAGTCAACAGTGTGCCCTTGTTGCCAAGAAGGCTAACGGCATTTTGGGCTGTATAAGTAGGGGCATTGCCAGCAGATCGAGGGACGTGATCATTCCCCTCTATTTGACATTGGTGAGGCCTCACCTGGAGTACTGTGTCCAGTTTTGGTCCCCACACTACAAGAAGGATGTGGAAAAATTGGAAAGAGTCCAGCAGAGGGCAACAAAAATGATTAGGGAGCTGGAGCACATGAGTTATGAGGAGAAGCTGAGGGAACTGTGCTTGTTTAGTTTGCAGAAGAGAAAAATGAGCTGCTTTCATTTGATAGCTGCTTTCAACTACCTGAAAGGGGGTTCCAAAGAGGATGGATCTAGACTGTTCTCAGTGGTAGCAGATGACAGAACAAGGAGTAATGGTCTCAAGTTGCAGTGGGGGAGGTTTAGGTTGGATATTAGGAAAAACTTTTTCACTAGGAGGGTGGTGAAGCACTGGAATAGGTTACCTAGGGAGGTGATGGAATCTGCTTCCTTAGAGGTTTTTAAGGTCAGGTTTGACAAAGCCCTGGCTGGGATGATTTAGTTGGGATTAGGTCCTGCTTTGAGCAGGGGGTTGGACTAGATGATCTCCTGAGGTCCCTTCCAACCCTGATGTTCTATGATTCTATGACCAGCCACCACTCCGGGACAGTGCCGCTCAGATGCTGGTACTTCCCGGGCTTAGCCAATGGGGCGATGTGAAAGGTGCGTCCCCCCAGGCCAGGGCTGGCCCATACTAACCTGGGCGCTCTTGGGGAGATACCAGTGTAACCCTGGGGGCTGGGGCTCCCCCACCCCCAAGCTTTCTGCTAATGACAATGCAGCTCCCTCATCCACAGCCCCGCAGGCTGCCCCGGCAGAAAAGAGGGGTTGGATATGAAATCCCCCTCCCTCTGGGCCTGGTACTTCCCACAGAGAACTTGCTGCAGCCTGAGGCAAGCAGTGTGTTTGCTGCAGGCTGGGCCTGGCCAATCCCTGCAGCCCCTCTAGGCCCCACCAACCAAAGGGCCTGCTCCGTGCAAAGCCTCTGTAAACAGACAGGCCCTTTCTATACACAGGCACAGCTAGCTAGAGCTCTGCACCTGGCTGCAGGGGCAACTCCCTCACCCCTCTGCCCAAGAGGCCAGCTGGCAGGACACACCCCAGAGCCTGTGACAGCCATAGCCCCATCACTCACACTAAGGGGCCCAGACCTGTCCCCGCAGGTGGAGAGGACCCCGCCGCACAGGCAGTGCTGGCTCAGGGGGCGGGGGGCAGAGGCTCTTACCTTCTTCTTCTTCTTCAGCAGTACCTTCACCCCGTCCACTGACACCAGGAGACTCACTTTCTTCTTCTTGATGTTCTTTGCTTTAAACTCATACTGGGGGAGGTAAGGGAAAGGCCAGTGAACCCCCTGCACCACCTGCCCACGCCCTCCCACCAAGCAGCACCCGATTGCCGGCATTGGGCGCTGGGGCGGAGGGCAAAGGAAGGTTCTCGTACACTCGCACACACACGTGCACACAGGCACACCCACACACGCATGTACACGTACAAACACACGCACATGTGCAAACAGAAGCACGTACATTCTAGCCCACAAGGATCTTGCTCTCCCTGTCGGTCTCCTGCTCCCCGCTTCTCTCTCACACACAACCAGAGCGTATGACAGGGACACTGATACACAATATGTCATACCAGCTGGGACCAACAGTGCCACTACGCCAGTATCCTGTGTTAGAAGCTCAAGAAAGACAGCCCCCTCCTCAATGCCCCGGCTGGCTGCAATGCCAACTCCTGGTGGCACTAACGACCCAGTGACAGCTTTTCGGGGAAGACGGGATGTTACATTCATCATCCATTTTTATTGCAAATCTTCAGAGAAAAAAAGTACCTAGGCAAAGATGTCAGCAAGTCACTCAGAAGTTGGGATGCTAACCCACAGGGCTGGACCACACAGCACGCACACCCTCCCAGGGCCAGTCCATATCCATACCCCACCCCACTGCTTCCCATCACTAGCTGTTCCTGGAGCATTTGCTGGCCTTCTGCCCCACGCAGCTGGCTGTGACCAGTGGCTAATGTACCCTTTCATTTAAAGTGAATGTAGTGATGTTGTATTACACCACCGTGGGTTTGGCTCTAGTCGCTACAGTTTCAAGCTCAACAGAGCAAAATTGTCTCTGGTGCTTTTCTCAAATGCGGAGGCTCTAGGAACACACAAAGTCCAAGGATACCAACTGCAGACACAATCACCAGCACAAAGTTTTATTAACGCACTAAACAAAGTTACAACTACCCATGCCTATAGAAACCCTCCACAAACCTATGCAGTAATTATACCTGCAGTCATCCTCACATCCCCAATGACATTCATGGGAACGATGGACCTCTCACCAACTGATCATTAGTAGGGGGAGAGCTGCTACTGGGGTTTTTCCTGTGGGTATTCCCACTTTTACCCAACCGGGGAACCCTTTATATATTGCAATTCTACCTATGCCTAACGCCTTATGCATATGCATGAAGGTGTCAGCCGTCTTTTCCTTATCTGTACTTCTACACCGCAGGAACATTGGGGTGCCCCGTTTTATAGGTTGTTTCTAGTTCCTCTTATTCTCGTTAGCATTTACGCACAACATATACCATGCGGTCAACCCAGACATTCCTTGATGTTACAATCAGTTGTCTTGTGGTCTCAGACAATACATTCTGGTCTACTGCAATCACCTACTGGCCCATCTTTACCATAACCGTGTGACTTTATGGGCATAGGGTTATTCCTAGTGACTCACTCATGTTAAGCATTCTGATGCCTACGGCCTAGTATGGCTAAGCTGACATCTTACAGGTCTCAGCCTGTAGGCTGTGCGTTTCAGCCTTGCTTTCCTTATCTACTTAATACACACTCATCACTGTCAATCCTATACGTCTATAAGCCTACAACTTCAATCTATTTAGCATTGATTGTATATGAACTGACCATAACATCACTTAATACAATGATATGTGGATGATAGAACAAACTAACTGGCTACACTGACCAGCTCAGAGGCAATGAGAACTACACAAAACATGTCCCAGCTCTCACATCTTCACAGGGCAGGGACATTATGTGAGCACCAACAGGGGCAAGGTGGGTCAGTGCAGTGGGGCTGGGTCTGTGTGACTGTGGGTTGGGCAGCGCTGAGGCTCCATGAGCTGATCTCTAGGAAGATGTGGTCCATCCTATGGCAGAGCAAGAACCCCTCGGACGTTGATCTCTACAAACAGAAAGGGGGGGTTGGCTGGTTGTTAAAGTAGCCACTCAGATCCAGCAAATTCCTGCTCAGCCTCCCCAAGCCCCCTGCAGGTTCTACTGCAAGCAGTTCTTGGCCCACGCTGCTGTGATGCTGACGTGCACTTCTGTGTGGTAAGTGTAGTAAGAGGAGGCCCTGAGATATAAACCTTGGTATCAGAGGCCTGGTATGAGGCCTAAGGCCTGAACTAAAGTAATGGTCAAGACTTTGCTAACATAAAGTGAAGTTAAGCTGTGAGCCAGAGGCAGGCCCTGCTCACAGAAGCTGGCAAGGAAAGGGCTGATGCTGCAAAAAGAGACATACCTAACAGGTACTGAACACCAGATATCAGAACATACACTATACTGGAACATTCCACAGATAACATGGAACAGGCCGACCCATCCCAATGACAGGGGCAAAAGGGTAAAATGATGGATTGAGTTGTTTTGATCGAACCGACATGTACAAGGTGAGAGGTGGCACCTTACTACGTAGAGGGGTTGTACCTTGCTGCATAGAGGGGTTGCACCTCAATACGTCAGGAGTGATGTGTAACTTGTTTGTATCTGTGTATAAGAATGCATCCCTGAGTGGATATCTTTGTCCGGCCACGGGGGTAGTGGAAAGTCCCGCCACTGAGCCGGGTCCTTGCCAAGAGGCACTTTCTCGTAGTATGCCTTGAATTAGGCTAAGAAACCTACAGGGAACTGCAATTGTGTCCAAGGTCGCAATAAACCTAGTTGACGTGACTTTGCATCTTACTAGACTCTGTGGTTATTGGGGGTTCTCTTCGGGTCTGCTGTGTCAGCTATCTGCGCAGAGCTTGGGCAGCACACACAGGGAACACACGCATGCAGCCGAGTGATATCAACATAGGAGAAAGCAGAACACCACACCGGTAGCATCTGACAACAGTAAGCACTTGGGGGTCCTTGGGGACAGAAGGTATTGACAACCGTTAGGCTCCGGCACACTGAGACCATGGGCTATTGTGGTAACTAATCTGTCTCACTGTGTCCTTGTTCTCCCCGTCTGTCTGTCTGTATCTGTGTCTCTTGTCTTGTCCTTAGATTGCCAGCTCTTTGAGGCTGGGACTGTCTCTTTGTGCTGTGTTTGTACAGCGCTAGCACAATGGGGTCCTGGTTTAGGCCTGGGGCTCCCTACGGACTCCAGAACATAAATACGAAATACTAACGGCTGAAGGCTGGTAGTAAAGTATATTGCTATGTCACCGACATTGGGCAACTCTGAATCTGGCGCAGGCTGGTCAGTCTCCCCACCCTTTTGGGATCATTTGAGCCTTGTCTCAGGAAATCACAGTCTGACTCAAACACATTTACATGCCTTAAACTGAGGGGCAATCGCCCTGGTCATTCCAGTGTATGCCAGAGCAGAGGTTCTCAAATGCGCCCAATGTATTCTGGGGGGGAAGAGGAGGGGGAGTGTAGGAAAAAAACCATACTGCACACATTTTACGCACAGCAATGAATAACTAGCAAAGCTGATTCCTCCAGACATATCATGTCCTCAGGTGGTACTGTGCATTTGACTCTAGGTGGCGCTGTGCATTTTGATGGATTTCTGTTAAGCTTGCATAGCATTATACAAAGTCGTTGCCATCTGTATGTTAATCCATTTGCTACAGCACAGTGCGCACGTGTAATTGTAAGCATCGACTAGGGTGACCAGATAGCAAGTGTGAAAAATTGGGACAGGGGATGGGGGGTAATAGGTGCCTATATCAGAAAAATCCCCAAATATCAGGACTGTCCCTATAAAATCAGGACATCTGGTCACCCTAGCATCGACCACACTCACAGTTTTGCTTTTGCTCCTATTACAATGGATTGTTAGCTTGTTCGTGGAATTGCTCTGCTCCAAAAACCAGGAGCACCCATCACACTAGTAACAACAGTGCGATGCCAGTAAGCAGCAGCTCACTTTCCTGTATACTTAAACGGCTCTGTTTGAATCAGTGCCTTAGTGGTTTTCATATTTTGTGAGAGTTGAATGTTGATATTTTTTGTCAGTGTATGTACTTGTGTGGCAGGGGACACCGAGAAGGGGGCGCGATCAAATAAGTTTGAGAACCACTGTTCCAGAGTACCCTGTGTGCTGAGCACTGGCTGAGTGTTGAGGAAGGTAGAGCAGTATGGGGTAAGGGACAGGTGGTTTGTTGCTCATGCCCCCAACACACACACACATTCTCTCTCTCTCTTTCTCCCTGTGAGCTGGGCAGCACAGCTGCACTCACATGCTCACTGCTGTTACAGGAGCACACCGGGAAGTGGAGTTTGGTGCATGGTGTATTTCAGAACTGATCTCACTGCAGGGAGAAAAGGCCCAGATCAAAGAGCGCTGGTTAGACACCCATACAAACCGCAGCCCAGCTTCAAAGGCTGCCCCCAGCAGCAGGCACCTTCCTGCGACATTGGCAGTGTGCGCTGAGGCATTGGCTTTGACAGCCAGCACTTGAAAGGTAATTTAACGATAACAGCACTAAAGTACAATTCCCCAAAGCCACTGAACACCTGCTGTTGGACGTGAGATACAAATGAATCAGACAGAACAGCACCTGAAGGCTGCAATGAGAGCGACAGCTCTTAAACGTTTCCGCTGCCTCCAGCCAGCTGGGAGACTGGAGCAAATGAGCAGCTCCTGGTGTGGTGCAGAGCTGACAGCCTGGCGTGGCTGCAGCGCTAGGGCCTTTATCTGCCCCCAGCACAGTCTGACTCCCACCTTCACGCTGCTCACTGCCAACACACCTCACCCTCCTGGAGGGACACCCTTCATGGGGAGGGGAGTTCAGACTTGACCCTTGGCCTCTCTGCTGAGACTGCCAACAAAGGGGCCAGCGGGGGTGGGTTTTCAAATGACACAGAGGACTGTGACCCCCCCAGCCCCAAAGCCATTTCATGCCCAGCTGGCCGCAGAACATTCTCTCGCTGTGACATCAGCGAGTGCCAGGGAGCATTTGAAATGAATGAAGAACAGATGAGATTGACTCAGGCTATGTCTACTACAGAGCTTACAGCGGCACAGCCGTACTAATTCATGTGCGCCGCTGTAAAACCCCATCTGTAGCCCTCTATTGCGATGG